CTTCCTTCAGGGCTTCGCATACTGGACCAAAGGGCGGAGTATGTCCTTTCGACGAATCGCCAAAGGTTATTGGCGATGCTCATGCTTCAGTTGCTTCGTTCTTTTCAACCTTTTTGTTCCTATTTGTGCCTAAGTGTCCATGCATCCACTAAAACTTCAAATACCTGAAACTTAAGAGTTTTCATCAGATATTGAGACAAAATAAGCATTCGAGGCACTATTTCTATTAAAATAAAGTCCTAAATGAGTCAAATTTATGGACTCATCAACACCCCTAACTTAAACTTTTGCTTGTCCTCAAGCAAACTTGAGTTCAGCCACTCAAAAAGGGTGTCAAAAATAGTGTTACACAAGACTCAATCATGAGTGAACACAACAAGCTCAATTTACTTATGCAAGGATCAATTGTGTACTCAAAGATTCAAGTGGTGACACACCATTACCAAAGATTCTCATGCTTGTAATACTTGCTACTTGTGCAAGTTCAAGCTCAACAGAAAGTATCTAAATGCTCTCACATGAAAAATGATTCCATATTCACACGCAGAGGTTAATCAATTCAAGATCAGGAATCATATGCAACGCTCACACTAAAAAAAGAGGAACACAATGCATGTTTTCACCCATAGGTTTGCCCTTATTTTCCAATCGACTTTCGATTCGGCTTACTCAAGATCAGAAAGGTCTTTCTAAGGCTTGTAATGGGGATGAGTGCAAAGGTATGGTCATTTATGCTCAGTGGCTCCTTCCTCATGGGATGTGGTATTCTCAAGGCATTCCCTTCTTTTCCTTTATCGATTCTTTTTCTAGTGCTTCTAAGTCACCGTTTTATTCACCTTCATGGATTACTTGGAAACCCGATTTCTTTCGTACTTTATTCCACAGTTTAAAAAAAAAAAAAGAATTGAAGGGGTTTCCACTTATGCAATACCATGGGTTAGGGGGGACTTTTTCTTGCACTACTTCACTTCTCCTTTTCCTTTTCACTACACCCCCAACTTAGGCTTTTAGCTTAAGTTGGTTATTCGCTAAATCACAAATTAAGAGGATTGTAGGTAGTGGTTCAAGTAAGGTCTAGGGTTCATCAAGGTTCTTTCAAACAAAGGTAAGGCTCAAAGGGTGTTCAAAAGAGTTTCACACATTCATGGGTAGGCCACAAAAGAGGTATATGTCAAATTTGGCTCACACTCTTTAAAGTTGCCTAAGATCATCTCAAGAGGACACCTTTCTAAATGAATCAGACTAACATGGAAAATTCTAGGTTTATTCATGCAAGTTTCAAAGCAAGCTAATCACACAAGGCATCGACACTTAAGTCAAACAAGACTACACACTTTCGCTAGTGTACAACAGTCATTACAAGAGAATCAATTTGATAAATGGCTAATCACAACGAGATGCAAAGAGTTCACATATTGTCTATGCAACTTCATTTGGCCTCATTGTAGCCGTACATTCATGTTCGTTCAATTGAGAGAACTATTCAAGTCATTGGTATTTATCGAAATTGAGACTTAAATTTTGCAAAGAACAACCACATTCATTTCATGAGTGGTGGCCAAAATGTGCGAAAAAATTAAAATTTTTCGAAAGGGTCAAAATCATTTGCAATTAAAAACAAAAGAAAGCCATGAGCTCAAGCATCCACGAAAAGCAGTGTAAACATAATTTTAAACAGAACAACTCAAATATAATCAAAACACGAATCAGAAATAGCACACAAAAGGTGAACCTCACCCCACCACAAATAAGAATATTTGTCCTCAAATGCAAGTAATAGTATCCAAAACTAAATGCAAGTAAGACACACAAAGAGGTGAAGAAGTGATCCTGATTATGAAGTTGCTCCATCTGTCATGGCATCAGTCTAGTTTTATTTCCGTCCAATTGGCGATATTAGTTCTAATCGCCAAATCTCTTGGCGATTCGCTGAGTGAGCACTCGACTAGTCGAGTTTTATAGAATCTTCAGTCATTGTGAAAATCCAAACGACAGTTTTCATCGAGATCGCTGTGGTGAATCATAAAATCTCCAAATATCACCGAGTTTAATAGACTTCAGTGTTTACGATGTTCTGAGTCAAACGGCGGATAAGGTCGGATTCACCAACCTCTTCGGTGACTCGCCAACAGGATCTATTGTGTGCCATCCTTCATTCATTTTAGTACTTTCACCTGCACAAATGATATACCATTTTATTACCGGGAAATAAGTACTGACAATAATAAAAATAAAGCAATTAAAGGGATTTTTGGGTTGCCTCCCAAATAGCGCCTTAGTTAACGTCGCGGCACGATGCAGTAGTGCCTTCAGGCGTCTTCCAAATATACCACTTCAACCAGTGAAATCTCTTGACAATCTCCCAGACGTTGACCGTTCACTGTAAATGGAGGTTCTTCCTGATGTTCAACTTCTATGGAACCATTGATGAACACCCGCGTTACCCTAAACAGTCCAAACCATTTGGATTTGATCTTTCCAGGGAAGAGTCTAAGTCGTGAGTTGTATAGGAGAACCCAATCTCCTACATTGAAGTCTCGCTTGAGTATCCGAGCATCATGCCATTTCTTCTTCTTCTCTTTATAGATGGCTAAACTTTCATATGATATGAGTTTAAATTCATCCAGTTCATTCAGCTGCTCTGTTCTCACCTTTGAAGTTTTTGACCAGTCAAAATTTAAAGCTTTGAATGCCCACAATGCTTTGTGTTCTAACTCAATGGGTAGATGACAAGCCTTACCATAAACCAACTTATATGAAGACATCCATATAGGTGTTTTGTATGCAGTTCGATATGCCCATAGTGCATCATCGAGTTTCCTAGACCAATCGTTATATTGACATTTACTGTCTTTACCAAGATGCTTTTTATTTCCTGATACGACACTTCGACTTGGCCACTTGTTTGAGAATGATATGGGGTTGCCACTTTGTGTTTCACCCCATATTTACTCAGTGCCATTGAGAACCACTTATTTTAAAAGTGGGATCCCCCATCGCTTATAATTGCTCTTGGAGTGCCAAATCTTGCGAATATGTAGCGTTTCAGGAATTGGACAACGTTTTTTCCTTCGTTGTTTGGAAGTGCGATGGCTTCCACCCATTTGGAAACATAATCTACAACAACTAAGATATATTTATTTCCAAACGAGCTCACAAATGGGCCCATAAAATTTATCCCCCATACATCGAATTGCTCAACCTCTAAAATAGGAGTGAGAGGTAATTTATGTCTTCTAGACACTCCACTTTGCTGTTGACATTTAGAGCATTTCTTTGCAAACTCATGTGCATCTTTGTAGATTGATGGCCAGTAATATCCACTCTGCAGAACTTTAGCAGCGGTGTGAACACCACCATGGTGACCTCCCACTGGAGATGTATGGCAAGCATGAAGAATTTCTACCACATCTTCTTCCGGAACACACCTTCTGATGACATGGTCAGCACACTCTCGAAACAAGTATGGCTCATCCCAAAAGTACTTTTTAACATTGAACATGAATCTTTTCTATTGGTAAAAGGTCAACTCATCTGGCATCAGCCCACACACAATGTAATTTGCAAAATCTGCATACCATGGCGTATGTTTGAGGGATATTGCAAACACCCATTCATCTGGGAAAGAGTCATCTATGTCAACTTCATGCTCGACATTCTCCCTTTCTTCCAGGCTTGATAAATGGTCAGCCACTTGATTTTTGCATCCTTTTTGATCTTTTACCTCGAAATCAAATTCTTGTAATACTACTACCCACCTAATCAATCGTGATTTTGCATCTTTCTTAGCCATCAAATAACGGAGTGCGGCATGATCAGTGAGTACGATTAATTTGGTGCCTAGCAAGTACGCCCTGAATTTTTCAAATGCATAGACTACTGCAAGCAACTCTTGCTCGGTGACCGTACAATTTTGTTGGGCACTATTTAGAGTCTTGCTTGCGTAGTAGATTGGGTGAAACAGTTTGTTGCGCTTTTTCCCAACACAACCCACAGTGCCATACCGCTGGCATCACACATTAACTCAAAAGATTCGGATGAATTAGGGCTGATGATGATTGGAGTGGATATTAGTTTTTCTTTCAAACACTGAAATGCAGCCATACAAGCATCATTAAAGTGGAATTTCACTTACTTCTCTAAGAGTTTGCATAATGGGAGTGCAATCTTTGATAAGTCTTTAATGAACCTTTTGTAAAATCATGCGTGCCTCAAGAAGCTGCGTACACCCTTTACTGAAATCAGCGGGGGTAATTTCTCTATGACCTCAATTTTTGCCTTGTCAACTACCAGCCCCTTTTGTGACACCTTATGCCCAATAACAATACATTCTTTTACAATAAAGTGATATTTCTCCCAATTCAGAACCAGATTCGTTTCGATGCATATTTGGAGACCTATCCTAAGTAAGTCAAGAATTCTTTGAGCATATCCCCTACGACTGAGCAGTCATCCATGAACTCCTCCATAGAGTCTTCGATCATATCTACCAAAATAGACAACATGCAACGTTGAAATGTTGTTGGGGCATTACATAGACCGAATGGCATCCTTTTGAATGTGAATGTTCCATAAGGGCAAGTAAAAGTGGTCTTCTCTTAATCTTCCAGCGCAATAGAGATTTGATTGTAGCCGGAGTACCCATCCAAAAAACAATACCACCCTCTTTCTGATAACTGGACAAGCATCTGATCCATAAAAGGCATTGGAAAATGGTCTTTCTCGGTCCATGAGTTAAGCTTACAGTAATCCATGCATACTCTCCACCCCGTCACTGGTCTTGTTGGCACAAGTTCTCCTTTTGTATTCGGGACTACGGTTATTCCTCCCTTTTTCGGTACACATTGCACCGGACTTACCCACTTACTATCTACAATAGGGTATATCACTCCCGCATCTAGCCACTTGATGATCTCCTTTTTTACCACTTCTTGCATTGGAGGGTTTACATTCAATGTCGAGCTGAATCTTGTGAGTACATATGCCAGGAGAAATTCCTACTATATTGTCCATCCAATAGCTTTTATATGCTTCCGCAGTACTTCAATGAGCAATTTCACTTGCCTTTCAAGAAGATCGGCAGCGATAATTACTGGTAAAGTATTATTGGCTCCTAAAAAGACATATTTGGGATGAGAGGGTAGGGCTTTTAACTCCAGATTTAGTGGTTCTTCTGTTGATGGCTTTGCAGGGGGACTTTCTCTATTTTTCTGATCGATATCCAACTTGATTGGATTCCTTGAATATGCGCCTAATCTTGATAAAGCAGCTACTATTTCCCCGTAATCCAAAACTTTGAATTCATCATAATTGGCAAGTACAGATTCAAGGGGTTCTTTCTTGTGCATTAAATGACACACACTTGCCACTGCCTCATCTATCACATCCTCAGTAGACACCACATGGATATTACTTGGTTGCTTCATGGATTTACAGATATTGAAGGTCACCTCATCATCGTTCACACGGAACTTCAATTTCCCACTTTCAACATCCACCAATGCTCTCCCGGTAGCTAAGAATGGCCTTCCCAAAATAATGGGGATTTTCACATCGATCTCACAATCTAGAATCACAAAGTCAAATGGAAAGACAAAACCGATCAACTTTTACCAATATGTCATAGAGTATACCTACTTGGTGCTTGATTGATCGATCAGCCATAAGGAGCCTCATTGTGGTTGCCTTTGGTTCACCTAAACCAAGTTGCTTGTATATTACATAGGGTATCAAGTTGATGCTTGCTCCTAAATTGCACAACGCTTTAGCGAATTGGAGCATGCCAATTGTGCACGGGATTGTGAATGCCCCGGGATCTTTTCTCTTAGTGATTGAATCATTTGTCATAATTGCACTGCAACTATGGGGAACCTCAATCGTTTCATAGTCCAAACTCCTTTCATTTGTAACCAGTTCTTTCATGAATTTGGCGTATCCCGGCATTTCCAGCAATGCTTCCACTAGAGGGAGGTTAATCGAGAAGCTTTTGAATACTGACAAAAAATTCTTGAACTTCTCATCTTCATTCTTCTTTTTCAAACGTTGGGGAAATGGTGGAGGTATCTTGGGTAAAGGGTGTATGACTTTTGGAACTTGAATTTGTTGCTCTGCTTCCTCCTGTGGTTCTTTAGTGCGGTTTTGTCGAATAGGTAAATCTTTTTCCTCCACACCTTGGCCCTCTTCATGTTTTGAGGATCCTCATTTTCCATCACATTCCCTATTGCCACTTTACCACTACGAGTAACCATAACCAGCTTTCTTTCATTATAGTTCATCGGTGTTTTGGACGGTAATTGAGTTGATAATAAACTCAATTTACCTTCCAGCATTTTGATGGCATCAGCATGAGAATTCACTTTACTGTTCAATGATATAAAGTCATCTTTCATCCCTTTTAGCAAATCATCAGAGCCCTCGACTTTATCAAATATGCGCGATAACAAATTGTTTACCCAAGGACTGCTTGCATTCCCTTTAGATGTCGGGCTTTCACTCAAATTAGTATGGTATTCCTCTTAATCATCCTGTTCAGTCCCATCTTGCCAATATATCCTTGGTTCTTCGCCACTATAATAATTCCAACCTTGATTCCCACCCCGCAGTTGATAGCGTGGGTAGAAACCCTCCTCGTATCTTCTGAAGTTCAAACCTTGATTCTCTCCCGATCTTGAGTAACTAGAAGAAGAACCCTCATCAACTCGAAATACTCCATGTGTCCCGTTCATATGTTCTTGTAGCATTTCCATTTGAGACAACATCTTCTTGATGTTTTCGTCCCTCTCCCTTTCTTTTTCGATCTGCTATTGCGTAAACCGAAAGCATAATGGGAAAACTTGATCATCTTTGGTTTACCATGCCTGATTCACTTTAGTCATACCATCTAGGAGAAATGTGGCTACTTCTAATGATTGTAACATTATTCTTTCTTGCACCAATTGATCAGCTATCCCTTTATTAACCGAGTCCAGACTACGGTAAAAATATTGGAGCAGTAATTCACCTGGAAGTCCATGTGTTGGACACTTATGCAAACATCTCTTGAACCTTATCCATGACTCGTGAATTGGTTCACCCTCCTTTTGCTTGAAATTTTGAATATCGTCTCTCAGCTTCATCATTCATGATGGAGGAAAGAATCTTTCATGAAACGCCATAACTAGCTCCTCCCATGATTTAATGGAGTTGTTGGGATGCTTAGCCAACCATTTAGTATCTCCCCCAGTCAATGTTAATGGAAATAAGCAACCCCGTATGGATTCTTGAGATAGGTTCTTGAATGATAAAGGGGTGCACACTTCCACAAAGCTTCATACATGCTCGTGTGGGTCTCATGTTCTAACCGTCCAAATAAACCTCTGGTCTGTATGAGTTGGAGTGTTGCGCTGGTAACTTCGAACATTACTTTTCCGTCAGCTTGTGGTATGCAGATTTCACCCACGTCAGTAGAGTTATAAACACTATTAGCATCATCGATGTCGTTTCGATGAAAAACACCACCCCTTGAGTGGCCTGCTTGGCAACAATTCTCACAGTTTGTACTCATATGTAATGTTGTGGCACACAAATACTCAAAACAAAACTGAAAATTAGGTAAATAGATTACAACTAAGAAGAACAAAAATTCCACTAATCTAAAAATTCTCAAATAACACCACTCCCCGACAGCGGTGACATTTTGATGCTTATCGTGACCAATGACACTAACCTACGGTATGAGTGTCTACAATCGTCGATAGTATAGTAACCCAACTAAAGATTGGGGTCGTGTCCCAATGGAGTGGTTTTTAGAATTGATAGAAAAATAAAATTAAGCTCTAACTAGTCGTAGCTAAAGACATTAACGAACAAAAACATAGTAAATTAAAAGGGGTGACATGAAAGTGTCAAATATCAATTTGGGGGTTTTATCACAAGTAGTAAAAATAGCAAAAATTAACAAGAAAATCAAGTGCGGGGAAATATTCTTGGGGTGTGACCGCAATACAAGTTGAGATAAATCGTTAGGTACATGCTTTCAATAGGAAAATTGCCAGATAATAGTGACTAGGCTAAGCTTTAGATGGAAATAAGTTCCCTTTTGGGTAACTTACCCCGTTTCAAATGGGTTCCTCTCGGACACCCATTTACCGCATGAAGACCAGCCTACGCCTTACCCCACTTACTCTCTCGAGATGAGTGTTAGGATATGGGACTAGGGCTCACCCTCTCAGGCTGAACCTCATGTCAACCCACCCCTTAGACCATCAGACTAGTGGTCTTGGTTTCGCGACCTCCCTCTCGGGGAAGCTGAAAACACATGGGTTGTTTTGTATTTGCAACTACAAACCCATTAAATTAAACCACAACCATTAGGTAAAATCACCATTAAAATACATCTACCACATCAGCAAGCAAGACCTAACAACAATATCAACACATATTTGTTAAATCACACCCCAAGAATGGGGGTTTTTAGCCACACCTCAAGAAATAACAAAATACACCTAAAATGATACTAAAATAAAATGGGTATAAGAAATTAAACCTTGATTTAAGCAAAGGAAGAAGAACGGAGAAGACCCACTTCCAACTTGGGGAAGATGAAATCCTTCTCTCTTCAAGTCTCCCACAAAATCCTCTCCAAACTTGAGAGAACATATCTAAAAATGTACTATTCTATTATGAAATTAATAATAATGGTTCGGTTATATATAAAATAATAACAAGTTTAGTATTTATAGACTTCAGAAAATAGCGCTAGCGGATCTTTCAACGAAGTTAGTCAATTCCGCTAAATGACTCGGCGACTCCCCCTTCTTCTGTTTCATCATCGTTTCATGCTTGCCTTCAACATCTTCACGTTCTGAACCATTGGGCAGTATAGTACCGCTTTGCGAAACTATTCGGCAAAGTACCAACTCCTCCTTTCATCGCCTTTTTGATCCTCTTCCTTCAGGGCTTCGCATACTGGACCAAAGGGCGGAGTATGTCCTTTCGGCGAATCGCCAAATGTTGTTGGAGATGCTCATGCTTCAGTTTCTTTGTTCTTTTCAGCCTTTTTGTTCTTGTTTGTGCCTAACTGTCCATGCTTCCACTAAAACTTCAAATACCTAAAACTTAAGAGTTTTCATCAGATATTGAGACAAAATAAGCATTCAAGGACACTATTTCTATCAAAATAAAGTCCTAAATGATTCCAATTTGTGGACTCATCAAAGCCATCCAAACTTCTGACTATTTAATAAACACACACCATTACCATTAACAAAGATGATAGTCCATATTTCATTCTTTTTGGTAAACTCCCTAATTATTCTCATTTAAAAATTTTTGGTTGTGTGTGTTTTGTCCATTTACCTATACATGAACGTCATAAATTATCTGCTAAAGTTGTGAGGTGTGTTTTCGTAGGTTATAATGATGTTCAAAATGGTTATATTTGTTATGAATCTTCTATACGAGAGTTGCGGGTTTCCAGACATGTAATTTTGTTTGAGCATCTGTTTGATTACCCTAATACCTCTTCAGCAATATCAGACTTTGTGTCCTTTTTGTACAAGTTTGAGAATTAGCAGGTACAAAATCTTACATCTCCCAACGAAGACTCTAATGGCATTACTGATGATCCTAGTTAATCAGATGCATTTCTTACAGATAATTCAGGTAATAGTACTTTGTCACATAATTCATTAAATACCTCTTTCACCGATTCATCTAACAATAATGATTATTCTGATAGTGAACTTGTACCAAGTGACCAATAAACTTTTCCATTCCATCTCTTCACTACTCTGAATGTAAAACATCTGCCCCAGATCGATATGGATACTCTCCAGGTAGATACGGTCGATCTTCTGCCTTACTTGCTACTTTGAATTCTATTTTTGTCCCAACAACTTACCAAGGGGCATCAAGTCATGACTACTAGAAAAAGGCAATGGAAGAGGATGTTTCGGCTTTAGAAGAAAATCATGCATGGGATTTGATATCTAAACCAGTTGAAGCCTCTGTTATTGGGAGAAAATGGATTTATTCTGTGAAAATGAAGTCTGCTGGCACATCGGAGAGTTACAAAGCTCGAATAGTAGCTTAATAATATAAACAAGAATATGGGTTGGACTATGAGGAGACTTTTGCTCCTGTTGCAAAGATGACGACAATTATTGTGCTGCTCACAATAACATCCATCAAACGGTGGAAACTTCATCAAATGGATGTGAAAAATACATTTCTGCACGGTGAACTACATGAGGTTATATACATGAAGCCTCCTCCTGGGTACAACCAAGCTCAACCTGATATGATTTGTCGTGTTCAGAAATCTCTTTATGGCCTCAAGCAAGAACCACATGCATGTTTGGAGAAGTTTCAATCTACTATCATAAATGCTGAATGATAACATGATTCAATTACTACAATGACTATAAGCATAATCTCATAAAGCTCTTCTTTCTACAATTCACCCACATCACAAAGTCAAAATTGGGGAATATGAGGTTTCATGGGTTCTTGGGGAAATTCCTTATAAATTAACAATGAATCATCAATTCAATCATAATCCATCATAAATCAATCATTAAAAGCGTTTTTTTTGAAATAAACCTAAAGATTGAAGTCAAACCCTAACTTTGGGGAAATCACTAGTTTTGAAATTGAATTTGGAGGGACTCCATGGATCAAGGCTATCCATGGATGAAGGACTACCATACCTTAACAATGGATTACAATAGATTTGGTGGGAAGAACTTGATTCTTTAACCCCTAGCTCCACCTTCTTTTTTTTCCTCTTTTTTGAAGTTCTAGAGAGAGAATGTTCTTTGGAGGGGAGGAAGTCTTGGTTTTTTTATATTCTAGGGAGAATGACTTAATTGGGGGAAATTTGAGTCTAAAAAGCTTATATACTTTGCTAGGGAAATAGTAGAACAATGAAGTATAAATTTAGGGAAAATAACTAAAGACCCCTAAGACTCCAACTTAAAAGTTGGTCCGCCCAATTTTCAAGAATGCCTCTCCATGGAGGCAGCCTACTAGGTGACGGGGAGGGCCTTTGGGCGATGCGCCAAGTGGGTTGGCGAGCCCCAACCTAGATCGCCCAATATTCCATAAGCTAGGCCAACTGGGGGGGGGGGGTGCCCACTAGGCGATGGAGGCTCACTTGGATAATTGCCAAGTGACTTGGGCGATGGTACTGCCCCTCGCCGAATTGTATAGGGAGAAAAAATGTTTTCTTTCACCCTTAAGGTAGTTTAGGCCCTTTCCCTCCTTCATGGTTAGTTTCTCCCGTCACACTTGGCCCTAGTCTAGCCCACTAGAATCCGGGGTGTAACAATCTTCCATCTCTTATGCAGTTCAAGTCTCTAGCCAATTAGTTACAAATCCTAGCCAACATCATTTTCCTTCCCTCCTCAGAATCATTCGCTATGTTTAGAGTACAATTAATAGAGGTCTATTCTTTCATTTAACATTATATCTAAATCTCGAAGGGTATGCCGATGCAGATTGGGCAGGATGTCAAAACTCTTGAAAGTCAACGACAGAATGGTATATATTAATCAGATCATCACTTGTCTCGTGGAAGTGCAAGAAGCAGCCAAGAATTTCAAAATCATCAATGGAGGCTAAATATAGATCAGTGTCAGTGTTTTCTCTGAAATTGTGTCGATACGTCGATTGATGGCAGAACTTCATACTAACAATACTAGTGCAATACAAATAGCAACAAATTTGGTCCACCACGAGACCACAAATCACATTGAAGTGGACTACC